ATCATTAAAAGAGCCTGCCAAAAGTTAGCACTCAGAATAAAACTGTCTCACACAACCAGGAAGAAAATCCTGCCTCTGCCTGCCGAGCTACCAGGATTACAGGCGTGCGCCAACCAAAAATTGTTTGGATGAAGCAATACATTGGGTCTATGGGGGTATTTGGTCAACCAGTGAGCATACAAGTGGGGTGGATGATGGGGAAGCTTGAACCAAATTCTTCACATCTCACTTGTTTCTTAATCTCAGAGACAGTGTCCCTTCTCATCTTTGCAAAAGCAACGCAGTTAGAACCCATTTCTAGGGGAACCATATACATCTTTACACCAACTTAATAATTTTAACAATGTGAATTTTAGAAACTTGCATTTAAAAGTGAGCATTTCTTCCCAGAAAAATCTCTGGTCACATTTAAATAACCAGAAGGAATGATTTTCTCATAAAATAACAAGGGTCCAGTGAAGCGACAAAAACCATACAGTTAACGGAGAGAATTTAATGTCAAGGTTTCCTTTATGTTTTATTTTTTTGGTGGGGTGCTGGGGATTGAACTTAGGGTCTTGCACATTCTCCCACTGAGTCACACCTCAATCCTTAATATAAGAAAAATCGTAAACCAGAGGTTTAAAGAAGGATCATGTTCTGTTCCATGACAAGACGTACAGATACCATGGTCTGAACAAACTCAAAAGTTCAGTGCAAAGATGCATAGTTAGAAGAAACAGACTAGAAATTTACTTAGGGCTGCCCCAGGAGAATGTTCTAAGTCAAGGTTTCTCAATATTGCACTATGGACATTTGGACTGGGCAATTCTTTGTTTTGGGGTAGGATATTTACCACTATCCTGGGCCTCTATCCATTAGATGCCACTCCATCCAAATTGTGATGATCAAAAACATGTCTAGACATTGTAAATGTACATTGGGGAACAAGAACCACTTGTGTCCAGGTAATGACTTTAAATTTTACAATAAAAGGAAAGGGACCATGTCCACAACTAGATTTATGATTTACTATACATAAATTTATACTTTAACCCTAGCAACTCTGCCCACATGAAATATAAACAACTGCAAATCCTCTTTTAGATCAAATTAGTAAACACAGAACAGCTATTAACAGTACTTGTGTGGTTTAATAGCCACTAGCCACATATCAGTACTGAGCATGTGTCTGGTCTGAAGTTCATGTTGAAGTGTAAAGTTCATATTGTATTTCAAAGATTACATGTGAAAAATTCAATACTTAACAGGATTCACTTTTACCTATTTCTTTTAGCTTCTTAGAAAGTGCCTATTTTACAATTTATAATAATATTAGCATTTGTGGCCTGCATCACATTGCTATCCGACAGTGTTAGTTTATACACAGTGAATACTGGGCATACCCAACTTCTGGGAACCACTGGTTCAACAGGCATATCAAGGGCTTGTTTTTTGTTTTGTTTTGTTTTGTTGTAGTGCTAAAGATTCAACCCAGGCTCTCACAAGCTGGGCAAGTGCTCTACCACTACATCCCCAGCCCTGCTACAGATTATTAAGCAATTCGAATTTCTTTTTAAGTCAATACATCATCTTTTAGATAACCTATCTTTCCAAAAATTACTGTCAAATAACATGCCCTTGGATTTTACAGCGTTTTCTACTTGAAAACATTAAATGTATTTGTCCTGGTATGACTCCCTGTTTTTCACCAAAGTGAAATTATTCACACTGTTAAATACCATCTGGGGATTGTGTTCCGGAGCCCCCGGAAGGGCTGCAGCTGATCAGTATTTAAACTCCACTTCCAAATTCCCCAGTACCCTATACCAACCAGAAAAACACTGTGCGTTTAATTCAGGAAAGACTCAAAAGTTCTTGGGTCGGGTTCTTCCA